AATAAATCATTCTTTTAAAAAAATCATGGAGACACAAATGTCCATCATTAAAAGATGGGTCATATAAGCTGTGGAGTTCTATACCTTCTTCATAAAAAAAGTATTTCATGAAAGTGAGAGAGCACATGGAGCACCTCCAAAAGGGTCCTCCTACCATTGATCCAACCCCAGCTTCAGCCAGCCAGGACCACGGGCATGCATGTATGCACACCAGCCTGTACCGGGGGAACCTCAGGACACACACCTGGAAAGCCTACGAATGATGTTAGTGCCATAGAACATTGTGCTACCACCACTGGATCCCAGCGGCTGGCCTACACTTCTTTCCAAAGACTAAGGCTGAGCTACACTTAACTGCTTGGAAATATTTTTCATTCCTAAGTGAGAAAACGAAGTCCACAACGGACGAAATAGTATGATCTCACCCTTGTTAAATTTATATTTGATGCATATTTCTCTATACCACTATTAAAATTTATTTTTATTTGCTAGAGGGCATGGGTACTCTCCAGAGAAAAGGAGAGAAAGAGAAAAAAAGCATCCTCCGGTGGGATAGCCACATCACAATCCCTTTTCCTCCATTCTCCTTTCAGGATTCTGGGCAAGTACACATAAACCAGCATGTCTGTCAAGCCACCAGTTTGGGACTTGAACCACACAGTCAGCCCTACAGGATCTAGCACCTTACCCACCATGGTCTGCTCCAAAAACAAAATTGTATTTGTTTATTTCAAACACAATCTTTGATCTTCTTTTCTGATTTAGTTCAATCCATTTTATTTCTCTTTAATAAACATTCTCTGTGCATTTGAGGCATGTCCTGAATCAAGGAACACGCATCCCAGCACAGACACTGGGAGCAGGACCAGGATAAGTGTCAAAGAAGAGAACCAAAACCGCAAAGACAGAGACTATTCTCTTAGCCCTGTGGTAGAGTTAGCACTGAATTTGGACAAAGAGGAACTGATTATTTAAAAATGAATCCATGGGAGTCAGCGGGTGGCATGCATGGTGGTTAAAGGCACTCAACTCCCACATAGCTGACTGCATTTCAAGTCCCAGACCTGGTGGCTTTTTTTCTCACTTGCGTTCTCTCTCTTTCTCTCTCTCTCTCTGATCAAACTGGAAAATAATAATTAATAATAAAAATAATAAATAAATAAAGTTAAAAAAAATCCCGAATCCATTTAGAAAAGCAGGACTTTTTTTTTCCCCCTAAACCTTCCTGGCTAAAGGCTACTCAGGGCTTGATGGGCAAGAACTAGACATTTATTGTGGAACCGTTTCATATCTTCCAAATCTTGTCACATATAGGCATGGATGAAAAATACGTCACATTACAGAGAATAGGTTTTACTTTTTCTATTTTATTTTTTCATGTCTATAAAGTCCTAGTGAAAATGCTCACTTAAGTATGTCACTGACTAACCAGGTCATGATTCTGCAGCCTGAGTATGCAAAACCAGCTAAGAAGCACCTGTTACAGACTAAACATTTGTGCACCTCTGCCCCTGCTGCATATTAGTGAATACGCAGAGGGATGCCATTCTCACATCCCATAGTTTTCCTCGGGGAACCGATTCTCTGTACACTGGGCTTCTGGCACCCACCCCCTACTCTGTGAGTATCTGTTTATATCCATTTTCCCTGCACTGTATACCCCTGCAACCAAGACTGAGTAAATTCACCCTATATTTCCTGTATATATATAAGAGTGACAGCACCTAGTAGGTCATCAAAATAAATATTTTGAATGAATAAATTCGTGTTTTTGCAGGGCATGAGGATGCTCCTGATGTTAGCTGGTTAAGCAATAGTAGTCACTTTCATTAAAGAAGTGCCGTTGTAACTTGTGTAGTATAAGAAGTCGGGGATGAGCTGGAGTTGACGTCAAGACTGTGTGTGTGTGTACACACACACACACACACACACACACGCCACTGATCGAAGGCAATCTTCACAAGAAATGATTAAATTACTTAAATATTACTGGATACCAACAAAAAGTATAACATTGTGTTAAGCTCTGTGAAGAGAAAGAGGATTGAATGACTCTTGGTCCTTGTCACCTGGTGAGAGTTTTGGACATATACCCAAATAACTTTAAACCCAGACCAGATGAAGTAAAAGTGCCACCATGAACACATAGAATCAGGTACAGACTCAAGAGAGGGGGAATAGCTTAGCATAAACTCAAAAAGTGTACAATGACTTCAGCGAATAAGAGGCTTTCTTTTAGCCTAGAACAATCCATTGGATTTCTATAGGTAAAGATGGGGAGATGGTTAGGATTATTAATTCCAATTATATAATCAGGAAAACTGGAGATTCGGAATTTAGTAAATTTTCCAGGGTAACTGTTACTATACATCAAAGACCCTTTCTGACTCTAGGCCTACTTGACCCCATGCCCATGTTTTTCAATTTTATATTAAGCTTTGAAAATTCCAAGGTCTGGGACCAGCAGTTAGCGTAATGGCTATGTCACTGGACTCCCATGTAGTCGACCGCGGTTGAAGTCCTGGACCCGGTGGCTTAAAACTCACGCTGGGCACATGTGCGTGCATGCCCAAGATCCCGAGAGGAGAAAGGAGGAGAAGGAATCATGGCATGGCCAACCCCCCTAGGGGATGATTTCTCACTTTCTGTCTCTCTGTCTCTGTCTTTCTGGTGAGCGCACATGCCCTATTGCAAAAACCTCTCCAAAAAAAAAAAAAAGAAAGAAGAGAAAATTTCAAGGTCATTCTGACTCTGTGGTTAAGGGCCCCACATGGCTGATGTCGGTTCAAATACTGGCCTTGGCAGCTTGAAAAACACAACAGGCATGTGTATGTGTGTGTGTGTGTGTGTCCCAATGTGTGTGCATGTGTGTGTCCCACAAATCCCTAAAGGATGAAGAAACAGAGATTTCCATGTGACCACATCCCACAGGGGAGTGCTTTCTTCTCTCTTTATGTTAAACTCATGTGCTCACTGGCAATTAAAAAATAAAATCCCAGGGTGAGTATTACAAGGCAATGCAAATGCAGGTTGAATCACAAACCAGGAGTATCCTGAGTGCCAGATAAATAATTTAGACTTTATTCTTTGAGTATTTGTGCAGAAGTGTGGAAGCTTTGAAAACAGACAGAGGGACAAGATGTTTCCAACAATCAGATTACCCCTCAGAAAAATCCCAATAAAAACGACAAAGTGGAAAATTCGGGAAAAGTGGAAAGAAGTAGTGGAAAACTCTTTTTTTCCTCTTAAATGAAAGTTATTTTGTAAATCTCTTACTATTGTACCACAATATAATTCTACTGTGATTAACACAAGACTTCAGAATACCATGAAAGAGTTAACAAAATCCTCCCAAATCTCCCCAATTCTTCTTGTTCAATGAATATATTTTAAAACTGCTTGCCAATGCATAAAACATAATAAGCAAAGATCTTTGAAATGTGGAAAGTATTTCCCTAGACAACCAAGAATTCTAAGTGCAATTGTAGTTCCAGTTGCAACTACTAATCGAGATGAAGGGAAGTGCTCTACTATGCAAACCATGTAGCAGCATTTAACAGCAATCCAGTTAGACTAAATCATTAACATTTTCATTGCCATTTAAGGACTAGATTTCTTGGTAGAATTAGAAGTGTGACAAGATTTTCTGACTGCTTTATACAAAATCAAATAGACATTCTTTTTTTAATTAGGAAATTTAAAATAGTAATGAATAACTTCACTAGCAAAGATATCACTTATGGGTCAGCAAGTGGTGTGGTGATTAAGGTGTTAGACTCCCACATTGCCAAACATGGTTTGAGTCTTGGACCTGGTGGCTTGAAACTCATGCCGGGTATGTATGTGCATTTGTGCCCAAAATCCTGAGAAGAAAATAGAGGAGAAGGGAATGCAGCATGGCTATCCCTTCTTCGTTCACCCTCAGGGGTGATTGCTCATTTTCCCTCTCTCTGACTCTCTCTGGTGAGTGCACATGGCAAAAACCTACAAAAAAGGAAAAAAAAAAAGATAATCATTTACTCTAATTATCAGATCTCTCTCCATTACCTCAAATATATCTAATGCATTTGCCAAAAGTTTAATTAAAGTAAAATGGAGGAAAAATTAATATCATAATAAACATAAGATAAACGTATAACTATAATTGATTTCCTACATTTTTTTTGCCTATGCTAAAAGAGGCCATTTCAATTTTCAGTAGTGATTTACTTAAAAGAGGTTCTATGATAGTAAAAATATCCTTAATATTGTCTCAAAGAAGAATGAAATTTGATGTATATAAACTTTTTTATTGGTGTGAAACAATGTTATTATATTGTCTGAATCTTAGATATTTTTAGTAATGAATAAAGCAATTTCTATGAAAAGTTATTACAAATTCTTTATAATGAGGTTTTAATTGTAGTGAAATTTAAATGGCTTCCTTTATTCTTTGATTGTGCAAAGACATATATAGCATAGAAATGCACACACTCCAAGATAACTGTTTGAATGTTCAAATACTCATTGTTTAAAAACTACATGTTGAAGTATTTATAAATAGGATATTAAAATAATACAGAGTTCCAAGTGACCTCTTTTAAGATAAACTTATTAAATCAAAAGCATTTGAAATACAATATGTACATGAACTTTTCACCTCTCTACTTCTCCAAGGAAGAACTAATGGCTGTTAAAAACAGGAAGTCATTGAAAACACAATGTCACTCTCACAAGGCATTCTTTGGGAATCCTCTGTTCTTTTCATTTCTCCAGAAGCACATTAAACAATAAGATGCAGTACACAAGAACTATCAAAAGGGAGCACTTTTGAGCCACCAAAATTGCATGTTAGCCTAAAAACCACAATCTCTCCAACTATAGACAATGATACTATCTCAGGTATTTTATGTGCTAAAATGATCATTAAAAATTAAGCACCACATATAAGCTGCCATTTAGAATATTAATTTACCTTGGCTAATCATCTTTTTAACTTGGGGCTAAAAGAGTTCACTTACCATTCGGATATTCAGGCTCAGTCCAGGAGATGTTAAAGGAGTCAGGTGAATAGGAGTGGGCTTTGGGGGTTGGCACGCCTTCCGGTATGGTCTCCCCTGTTAGGGCCTCACTGGCCTCGCTCATTGTGCACCCTCCACCTGTGCAAGCCTAAACAGAGATGCCAAAAATCACTTCACTCTGGGTCTCAAAAGTTTCAATGCACATGGAAAAAAGAGAATTCATAATAGGAGTTCTGGATTCCTTTAAATAATATTTCCTTTACTGCCTAAAATAAATTTGTTTCAATGCTGAGTTTTGACGTTTCATTTGTTTGCTTTTTAAGGCATGAGATAGTCATTTCCAATAATTATGAAATAACTCAGAATGTATGAATGAATGAATGAATGAATGAAAGAACCATCGTAAATTATAGCCTTAAGATGTAGGGTGGATATTGACCAGCTGAATAGCCTTCCAGAAGTTAGTCTTATAAAGAGGTTCCCAGAATTAATTAAACACACACATGTGTGTGCACACATCACATGAGAAAAGTATTAGACACTGAAGGTTATCTCAGGATAAAACAACTGATTATTGAGGAAAAAAGATGTATAGCAAAACATAATTGCCTTTTATTTACTATAGTGTGACCAACATGTTTACAGTATGATGTCATATGATAATTAAATAAAATAATATTAATTATAATGAAGTAAATACTACAATTAAATACAACAATATTTCTCTTAAATCCATCAGTATAATGCAGTAATTGAGTGAAGGTCTAATGCTTAGAGGGGTAAGTCATATACATGTATGTTAGAGGAGAAGGGCTTCATTAAAACATAGCTGACAAATTTAAATGATCGCAGAACTCCCTTTTTCCTAATAAAGTATCATCAGTTCCAGAAATGGTAATATGAGCATTAAATACCACTGGGAAACTTCTATGTACTCATTCATAAAGGATTGCAAATAATTCTTAAACTAACTGGACAAGACTTTTTCTAGGAAGTTGAGATATATCCGGAGTTTTTCCAGCCTATATTTGCTAGCAAATATAAGCTATTCTATCCTTACGTAACAATGATGTTTGAAAACCGTACTTCAGCTTTGTTCTCTCTCTTCATATTACAACTGCAATTTATACAATGAAATGTAAAAGTCTTTCAAATGCAGTAAACTTTACTAAATTAATAAGAAAATGAAGCAAAATCATAAGACAATGTAAAAAACAGATAGTTAACCCATTATCATAGAAGACTGGCATACCTAACATGAGCACTATTCCATTTCTTTAGGCCTGCCCCCTACTTTTAATACTAAAGGAATGATTTTCTGATGCCTAGAGTAGTCAATATTCTTTTCCCTCAAGAAAGGAAGAAATAGACTCAGTTTTAGATATTTTCCTGCATTGAAATGTAATAGAGTTTGCAAAGTTGTATCAACTAGTGGAAATGTCTTTATTATATGTGTAAATAATAATTTGTGGTCATCAAACATGCAGATGAATCTTCCTTCCTATTATGAGAATACTGCAGTAGCCAATGTCTTCAGAATTTCTCATCAGCTTAAGTGAGTTTCAAATGGGTTAAATAGTGGCCCAGGCATGAAATTGCATTAAGATTGGGGACCTAATTAACCTTTGTGGGTTTCCTCTAATTCTCAGCTGTGGTATGTGCATATATATGTAAGAAAAAAGCCATACTCCTCCTAAGAATAGAATCTTTGCAAATAAAGAGGAATTAGTTGAACATGTGGCCAAACCCTGACTGAAAGCTATAGGACATGTCACTATTAGCCCAAGAAATAACTAACTGAAGATTAAAATAGAAAAATTAAAAAAGAAAAAAAAATGCACACGCACATTTCAAATGTGCAAAATGTCAACAAGAATAGAGGCCGTATGAGATAGCTGAGTTATCAAAGGAAAAATGGTCAAAGGAGCATTATTTCAAGTTCTCAAAAAGAGAAAATCTACCAATTTGCAATTTCCATATTTTTTCCCTGGGGGGGGAAATGTTGCAGTATCTCATTGTTAAACTTATAATATTGGGTTTTAATTCTGATAGGCTATTTGTTACTGTTTTCTTATCTTATTCATGTCCTAAAAAACTTTCCCTATTAACACTCCCCCTCAAAATAGTGCACTCTATGACATACAATTTTATATTTTCAAAACAGTGCAAATTAAAATTTACTTAGAGACTTTTAAGATGCTTTCTAGGATAAATGAAGACATCTTCTGGTTTGCAATGATTGCTCTTTGAACTACGTTATCTTGGCTCCATAAACCAGTAATATTCCTTAAGAATTTAAGGAATTTATGAGATAATTTTTCTTGTAAATAAAACAATTTATAAAGAGGCTGCTGAGATTATATAATTGCCTGTAAATTATTTTATTTTGTTTTGCCCATGTCTTTTTGCATGCATTTTAGAGTGCCTAAGTAAGCAATGCAATATCTTACTTCATTCAAGAGGCAACAAATATCTTTAAAGTTGCTTCTGATTGGTCTAATCTAACTGCTATCATCTAAATGAAATTGAGCCAATCAGTATCTTGTTTGACCTGCCTACACCACAGGCCACAGCATTTGATGCAGCTGAATGCTGATTAGAATTCTGGCATGGAAAAACTAAACAAAATAGTGGGATTAATTAAAGGTGCTTTTATGTAATGGCAAGGTCTTTGTGAGTCATTAAAATAAGCTGCTTCAACCCATCTCCTGTAACTTTTATCAATTACAGCTATTTGAAAAAATAGTTCGTAAAGTCATACTACTACTCTGAAATGAGTAACAACTGACCAAATAATAGATTCAACCTTGGCACAATTAAATGCATAAATAACAAAATCGTATCAATTATTTTTGTATTCATAACTATTAGGCAGATCCAAAACTAGCATTCTCTCTTCTAATAATTTGTTTTCAGAAAAGCAGGGACTGGGAACTAGCAGTTAGTGTAATGGCTATGTCGCTGGACTCCCACGTAGTTGACCGCGGTTTGTGTCCCGGACCCGGTGGCTTAAAACTCATGCCAGGTGCGTGTGTGCATGCCTAAGATCCTGAGAGGAGAATGGAGTAGAAGGGATTGCGTGACCATCCCCCCTGGGGAGTGATTTCTCGCTTTCTGTCTCTATGTCTCTCTCTCTCTCTCTCTGGTGAGCGCATGTGCCCTATAGCGAAAACCTCTCCCCCCCGCCCAAAAAAAGAAAAGCAGTGACTGAGGATGTTAAGAATGTAAGATATTTTGGTACCAGCAGTTGGCGTAATAGCTATGTCGCTGGACTCCCATGTAGTCGACTGCAGTTTAAGTCCCAGACCTGGTGGCTTAGACTCATGCCAGGTGTGTGTGCATGCGTGCCCAAGAGGAGAATGGAAGGAGAAAGGATTGCAGCATGGCCATCCCCACTGGAGGGTGATTTCTTGCATTCTGTCTCTCTGTCTCTCTTTCTGGTGAGCACATACACCCTATAGCAAAAACCTCTCCAGAAGAGAAGAGAAGAGAAGAGAAGAGAAGAGAAGAGAAGAGAAGAGAAGAGAAGAGAAGAGAAGAGAAGAGAAGGAAAGAAAAGAATGTAGGATATCTTGGGTCAGCCCTGTAGCCAGATGGTTAAGGGAGCTTGCTCTGACTTGGCCAACGATTGTTCTAATCTTGCCATGGAGGACTTGAAAAACAGGCAAAATTCCAATCAGCTGGAGAAATGGAGGAGAAGGGATTGTAGCAAGACCATGCCCTGTTGGGGGGACATGGGAGGGGGGTGGGGTGCTTTCTTCCTCTGTCTGGCAAGCACACAAGCTCTCTGACAATTAAAATAAAAAAGAAATAACGAAAGGAATGTATCATTTCTTAAAGCATGAAGAGAAAAAAAAAAAAAAAAACAAGGCCATTTTATCCACAAATGATCTTTTGAAAAATTAAGCTCATCATTTCCAAGACTCTTTCAAGGATGTATATGTAACATTAACATTCATCAAATGACAAATAGCCAGCAGTAAAAAGAAAATTATCAAACACCTATCTTGATACCTGTCTGTATTAATAGCTTCTTTATTTGTTAACTTATTGTCTTTATTAGGAATTATCATACTTCAAAATATCCTATGTTGGGTGTAATGTCTTTCGTAATAGAAAGAACATATGCTTTAGAACCATATTATCCCAGCTCCGATGGTTCCTAGTAAGTTATCTAATTCATTTAAACAGTCTCGGATTCCTTATGAAACACAAGTGAAGAAACTAGTAAGGGCATTGATACTCATTCAAGAATTGTTTGTTGAGCTTGCAGTTTTCACTAGGCACTGTACTTTTACTTGCAGATAGAATCATGAAAGATGCAGTCTCGATGGTTTAGGAGTTTATAATCCAATGAAATGGGAAAATTAGATGAAGTCATGTGAGGCAATATACCTGCCCTAAGCTTGGAGTAAATCACAGTGTCTCAAATCCCCATGTATTTTCCCTATTCGAAAGTCACTTAAAGGCTTTGTTATCGGTATGTTTGGTTTTCAACATTTAGTCAACATGCTAAAATGATCCATAAAGGCAACTCCTCTTTGCTGAGAACCTGATCTCCATCTACTTATCTAATGACCTTGAAAGCTAGTTATTATATTGAAACTGTGAAATATACAATAATCCCTCAATTAACCAGGATGAACCTAAAATGTTCTGGTTCATTTAATTTACTGCTTTACCAAATTAAGTAAAAAAACCTTTTAGTTGAATATTTCCTAAAAATACATCAGAGAAAATATTCTGCCTTCATAAATTGGAAGTAATAATAGCAAGTTTATTTCTCTAACAAGAGTTAAGGCAAAGACATCTACATCTTTTTAACATCGTGCATCTACATTGTTCAATGGCTAGCCAATACTGTTTGACTCCATAGGCTATTGTTTGGGGCTACCGACACAGGATTTCAGAACAGAAAGAGACATTCAAATAATGTAGGATTGGGACCAGCAGTTGGCATAATGGCTATGTTGCTGAACTCCCACATAGTCAATCATGGTTCGAGTCCCAAACCTGGTGGCTTAAACTCACGCCAGGCATGTGTGTGTATATGCCCAAGATCCTGAGAGGAGATTGGAGGAGAAGGAATTGTGGAATGGCCATCCCTCCTGGGGGGTGATTTCTCACTTTCTGTCTCTCTGTCTCTGTCTTTCTGGCAAGCGCATATACCCTATAGCAAAAACCTCTCCAATAAAATAAGAAAAAAAAATAATAATAATGTAGGGTCAAAGTCCTAATTTTAGGTTTGAAGAAAATAAACTCAGTGAATTTAAGTGAATTACCTTAGGTCAAAGAGTTAGTGGCAAAATCTGTTAAAACTCAGACGAGTAAATTCCTAAGGTAGTGGTATTTATGTCTCAAGGTATTACACATTTATAAAATATAGGGCCCAGCAGAGGTGATACAGACAGCAGGGTGCTGCTTCACAATACTGGAGCCATGTGGGAAGGTCCAGAGTTCAGATCCCTGGTAGATCTGATGTCCTTGATCCTGGGTGGCTGGAATGCTGGGAGGAAGATCCCAGCATGGTAAGACCCTACTGGGGGTCTCTGTCTCTCTAAATGAATGAGTGAATGAGTTAATAAACAAACTTTAAAATCAATACAAATTTTAAAAACTAATGAAGTATGGGGAGATTGAGGCAGATTTTAATAGACACATACCCTAAAAATAGCCTTGGAAGTAAAAATCTATTTCATGTCATTCCCTTCCTTCTGATAAAAAGAAAGAGTATGATAGTTTGCTCCCAAGTAATTAAGACTTTTCTTGATTTTGAAATTATCATTATTTTGAAAACTGTGTAGGGCTTAGATTTTGAAAGTCAACTTAGTATACTTTCTTCTTGTTGAGTAATAAAACTGTATGTATTCAAAGATGCTGTTTAATAAATCCATCTGTTGTGCTAAATACCTAGGCACATAGAATCCATTCTGAACAGGATTTTTAACACTGTCTGATTGCCCTTGTTTTGTGGTGTCAAGTCAGACAGTTAGCAATAGTTGAATGTAGTTTATTTTCCCATGGTATAATATTTAGAGCATTCAAGAGCATGTTAAGTAAAATGAATGCATACACAGTGTCTACATAAATGTAAATTTATTCATAATCAAGAGCAGAATATTTTCTATGGCATTTATCAAAGCAAATATCCTTATATAGGTATTGCTATAAAATGAAGAGTGTATTTAAAACAAATAGGGACAATCTCATGTTTATATTCAGTTATTTTCAGATGTGCTATTAAACTTAAAAAAGATTATATTTCATCAAAAAACAAAAGGAACTACTGAGTATAAATGCCACAGTAATATCAAGGTCTTTTAAAAGACCTTTGTATAAAAGTGCTATTTGCATTAAAAAAAAAAAAGCTATTGTTTGTCTAAAGAAACCTCTAACCTATGTTGATTCTCGGAGTTATTGAGTGACTGTTCATCTGAGGTAGCCATGTAATATAAGCCAGACTATAGTAACAATTGAGAATATTTGGGGTCATTTAAATGTTCATTTAAAAATCTAAGATCAACATTTCCATACAGTGCATTGTTTTTCATATGAATACAAGCTCCACAGAGAAATAACCTTATTAATCCAAGCATTTTATCAAAAGCTCCTAACAACTATGACATTATACAAATATCAAAAAAAAATAGTATCTGATAATTCCAAATTTGATTAGGGAATATCTACTGACTCAAATAGTTATTCTATCACTGTGAATAATAAAGTATGTAGATATTGGATCAACAGAATTCATGTTTAGGGTGTAAAGTGAGTATAAATAGCAACATAAAAGGTTTTCCATTTTTGGCATTTTTAAAGTGAGAGAGGGAGAAAAGATGACACAAAGATAAAAGGAAAAGGAAAGAAAAGATGAGGGCAGAAAAAGTAGTGGAAATAAAGTAAACTTACTTCCAGCTTGATGAGGTATCTATTACCAGGAAAGAGAAATCGTAGCATGTGATCCTGGAAAAGTTCTGTACTGTTATAGACGACAGTCCAAACTGTAAAATCATGTGTACGATTTGAAATATATAATAGATAGCGTTCCAGAATTCCATTTACTTTCCTTGGTGGTTTCCATCTGAAAATGAAAAAAAGAAAAAAAAAAAAAAAAAAAGACCAGCATTTTCATCATCATTCATTCAAGTCAAAATAGAAATGTACGGGATTTTCAAACAACACATAGGAACTTGGATTTGTACCACTGTAAAAAGATACACTGGAAGCTCAAAGCAATCCAATTCATTTAATAAAAAAAAAAAAGTAACCAGATAGTTATCAAATGCCTATTCTGAGTGGCCCAAAGAAAATAAGACATCAGGGCCATCAGATGGTGTAATGGTTACGTCACCGGACTCCCACATAGTCGACCAGGGTTCAAGTCCTAGACCCAGTAGCTTAAAACTCACGCCAGGCTCATGTGCATGCGTAGTCAAAATCCCAAAAAGAGAATGGAGGAGAAGGGATTTCACCTCAGCCATCCCCCAGGAGGGATTATTTTTCACTTTCTGTCTCTCTTTTTCTGTCTCTCTGATGAGCGCACGTGCCCTTATAGCAAAAATCTCTCTCAAAAAAGAAAAAAATAAAAGAAGACATCATCTCTGCCTTCCACTTACTTAAAATTTTAATTAACTAATAATACAAAAATGTATGAATGGGTACTTGATTTTGAATTTAAGCCATACGGCAAAAACTGAGAAAAGGAAAACATCTGAGAACTAACCAGATATGAAAGAGAAAGAACATAACACAATTATCTTGAAAAATTCAGCAGTGTCATACAGTCCAATACGGAATTATAGACTACAGAGAGAGTGAGGATTGGAAGGGCAGAAGCAATCAGGTAGGACTTCTCGAATGAGGTGATACACTAGATGCATAAGAATTTATCCTTAGTAGATGGATTAGAATGAATAAATAGAAGGAAGAACAGAGGGCCCTCTACATAAGGGTTACAATTTATCAATGGGAATGAGGAAGGCCAGTTGTGGAATAGACAGAAAATTGTTCAACTGAGAAATACTTAAGAGTAGTGGGAAATCTTTTGACGTAGGCAATATGGCTCAAAAGCCAATAAAAAAAGTCCAGACATGAAACAATGGGATATGAATCATAATGTTTTCAGCTTGAATGAAGGCCATTTTATAAATTGTCTTTTATAAAGAAGAAAACTGAGACCAGCAGAGATAAATGTACCCAAGTGTTAATTGGTGATAAGAGGATCTATCGGGTTTTCAGCTCAGGATGATCCACAATACACCTTGTGTATTCAGAAACAGGGAAGAACAACTAATATTGGAAATAACCTGAACATACTTATATGTGCAAGCTCCTTTCTGACTTCAACTGCAAGGGAATAAGGCAATAATAAAGTCCTGGTTTACATGCCACAAGAAAAATATACAAATATGCTCTAATTCCAAATCATTCCAAATAATGCCTCACATATAAAAAGCCAGGCTGGTCATGTAAATGGTCAGTTTTCCTTTAATTGAGGTTTGCAGAGAATCTGTGTACATATGTAGCTCAGCCTGATTGCATAAAGACAAAATGGAAATTAAGTTGGCAAGTGATAATCAAAGGTTCCCAGAACCACTGAACTAATCACTCCTATGCATTTAATCACAATAAAATTAATTTATGTCACAAGCCCTTCCCCTGATTGAACTCACTGGTATACTTGTACGAACCAGTGTGTAACACAGACATTTCTACTTACTGTACATAGATAGTTCTGGAATCCAAGGCAGTCAGAATCGGGGAATCCACGTGTTCTGGAGGCAGCTGTGCCGTGTACAGTGTGACCCGGGAACTGTTTGTACATCCCACTTGCGTGCATGCACTGAGCAGAAACTGGTGGGGTGTAAACACTGCTAAATCTAGGGAGAGAAGCAAGAATGTAATGACCATGATTTTTTGTATTTCAGGAAATTGTACACCTCTTCATTCCTACCTTTCAGAACTGTTCACATAAACTTCTTTAATCAAGAGCAATTGAGTTGGTCCTATGGCCTAGTTAAGGAAGCCAGATCCCACATGGCAAACCATAGTTCAAATCCTTGCACTGATGGCTTGAAAACAGCCTGAGTACGTGTGTGTGCACACCCCAAATCCAGATAGGATGCAGAAATGCAGAAGGGATTGTGGCCTGACCACACCCTTCGGTGGTAGCTTCTTCCACACCCACATCTCTCTCTAGCCAGCACATGCACTCTCTAGCGATAACAACAGTAATTTAAAAAATCGATAGCAATAAAATATCAGGTGTTTTCCCCCTCAAGTATTCTGTGGCTATATTCAAATATAGAAAAAAATGTCAGTCCAACTCTTGATTTGACCTTTTCATTCCAACAAATTTTTTTCTGAGTATTTATGACCAAGTAAATCACTTTCAGAATTTAGACTTAGTTTGATGTTTCTTTTTAAAAACAAATAAGATATTTAAATTATTTTAAAGCACATTGGAAGACAATGGGAGTTCCTTTTGAAATGCAAATGCAAAGCTTGTAATAATGACTGTGAGCTAGTACTTTCATTTGCCAGGCTCCTTTCTTTTTTTCACCTGCCCAATGATGTTTTGACCTTCAAATTGTCCAAGATCATTGGAAATACCTGTTTCTTTCTTAAGATGTCATTAACAGGGACTGGCTCCATGACCTACCTAGTGGCCAAAAGAACTGGATCTCATATGGTTGGCCACAGAGTTTGAATCCCAGTTCTGGTGGCTTGAAAAACACACTCACCCGGTATGTGTGTGTACACTTCCAAAATCCTGACAGGATAGAGAAATGGAGGAGACAGGATTGTGGCATGACCAATCATTCACTGGGGAGTACTTTCTCCCTTTCCTTCTCTGTCTTTTTCTGGCAAGCACACATGTCTTCTGACAATAAATAAAAATTTGCAAAGGGACCAGTAGTTAGTATAATGGCTATGTCGCTGAACTCCCATGTAGTCCACCACGGTTTGAGTCCCAGACCCGGTGGCTTAAACTCATGCCGGGTGCGTGTGTGTGCGTGCCCAAGATCTGAGAGGAGAATGCAGGAGAAGGGAATGCGGTGTGGCCATCCCCTCTGGGGGATGATTTCTTGCTTTCTATCTCTCTGTCTCTCTCTGCCTTTCTGGCAAGCGTACGCACCCTACAACAAAAACTTCTCAAAAAAAATTTGCAAAGAAAATTTAAGAAGTAAAAATAAGATGATGTCATTAATACTCCTTACTGTCATCTTGGTATGAGGTGAAACTATTATCCTCTCCTCTGTCTTCCACTGTACATTGTATATATCTTTAGCATAACACAACACTGAGGCATAATTATTTGCTCACATGATTATCTGGTCCACTAGACTGAACACCTTAACAGAAGAAATTGTGCCATATTCATTTTTCATATTCAGTATCTATCACAATGCCTGGAACATTATATATTTAAAATATAGATGTTTGAACAAATAATGAACGAGATGATCTCGATAGATGCTGCTGAGCTAAGTATGAAAGATGACAGCAAGAGCAGGATGATATCCCAGTCAGAAATAATCTCTCTCCCCTAAATCTCTCTAGTACTTTATGCCATCTACCTTTTTAATGGATGCCATAGTTCCTTGGATTAGAATAAACTAATCAGACCAGTTTGTGGTCTGATGATTAAGGTGCTTGATCTCACATGGCCAACTACATGGTTTGAGTCCCGGACTTGGCCTGAGAAACACGCTGGGTGCCTGTGTGTGTGTTTCCAAAATTTTGAAAAGAGGAAGAGATGGAGGAGGAGAAGGGATTTGGGCAAGACCATGCCCCTTGAGAGGTACTTTCTCTCCCTTTTTCTCTCTCTTCGCACCTTCCTGCAAGGGCACAAGGGCACACTACTGGCAACATTTTAAAAAAAAACAATAAATCGTTCTGTAGTTTACTAATCTAATCTTGAAAAACCCCAAACATTTCATTTATAAAAGAACAGTAATCTAGCCAAAGTTCAGTCATGTTTACCAAGATTCAAACAACTTTCATATAATACTAGAAATAGTTATCAGTTTCTGGAATAATTCTGGAGTAAGTTAGTCACAATTTAAGTAACACATATCCTTATGTCTCATTAACCTTGAACTATTACAATTTCATGTTTAAAAGATTAATGAAATGCATCCTAATTCAGGCAAATAGATTTTACACTGCACTGATAGCAAAAGTAAACTAGAAAAAGAATACTTTGATTTTCATGCAAAGTATAATCAATTGGTTAAACATGTAGGTCACCAGAAGAAAGAAAAAATGTAATTTTTCAATAAATAGAGGCACCTTCAAACAAAAAGCAGTCAAGAAGAGATTCTTTTCTTTCTTTTCCTTTCTTCCTTCCTTCTCCCTCCCTCCCTCCCTCTCCCTCTCCCTCTCTCTCTCTCTCTCTCTTTCTTAGATTTTTACCATAGGGCACACGAGCTCACCAGAGAGAGAAAGAGAAAGGGAGAGTGAGAAACCACCCCCTCTCCAGGGGGGATTGCCACATCACAATACCTTCTCTTCCAGTCTATCCTAGAGATTTTAGGAGCATGCACATGTACCCAGTTTGTTTTTCAAGCTGATGGGTCTGGGACTTGAATTGGTCATGTAAAGTCCAGCACCTTAACTACCATGTCACCTGCTAGACCTCTTTTCTTTATATAAATTGTGCCAAAGAGTGTGCGTGCTCACCAGAGGCACAGACAGAGAGAGAGGAAAAATGAGAAAGTATCCTCCTATGGGGAATGGTCATGCTGCAGTCCCTTCTCTTCCATTTCTCCCTCCTTTCAGGATTTTGGACAAACACACCTACACACATGCCCAGTTTGTGTTTCAAGCCTTCAGGTCTGAGACTCAAACTGCAGTCAGCCATGTGGAATCCAACCATCTTAACTACCAGGCCATGGGATGGCCCCAAGAAGAGATTTTTAATTGCTTTTGTTCTTTTTTCTTTTTTAAATTGCCACAGAGCATGTGCATTCACCAGTGAAAGACAGAGAAACAGAGAAAGACAGAGAAGTCACCCCATTATGGGTTGTGGTCACAACACAATCCCTTCTCCATTTCTCCATCCTGGGTGGATTTGGGGTGTGTATGCACTCATGCCCACTTTGTTTTTCAGCCTACCAGGCCTGGATCTGACCTACAGATGGCCATGGGAAATCCAGATCCTTAACCACTATGCTGTGGGCTATATTTTGAATGAAGCCTTGTTTTCTTTTAATTTCTGTCATACATGTATCTCAGTGCATTTTAGGCATAGTATGAAAGAAAGGAGCTGGAGCTGATCCCAAGGTTTTTGCCCTGAGCACATGGAAGGATGAAGTTATCATTAATTAGGCTGAAGAAGAGTATAGAGAAAAAATGAATTCATATTTTTAACATGAAATGTTTGAGATGGTAGATACCCAAGTGGAAACTGTCAATTAAGCAGTCTGAACACAAGTTGTAGTTACAGGAAGATGTCCAAGTTTGAAATGTAATTTCTGAATTTACTATCATATAGATGGTATTCAAAGCATATGAGAACACAAGTGGAGTGACTGTAGACAGAAAACAAAAAGGAAAAGGTACAATAACCAAAATCCTTGGATAACAACATTAAGATGCCAGTGAGAGAAACAAAAACCAAAGAGACAGAGAGTGACCAGAAAGGTATGAGGAAAACAATGAGATGCTAGTACGCCAAAAGTCTAATGAACAAAAAATTTTTAAGATTAAGTTTTGAGGGTTGTAGGTCAAATAAAATGAGGACTAAAACTTGACCACTGGGTTTAGATATTTGTGTAACTGAGTTATTGTTGCAAAGAAATGAAACAATAGAAAGAATGTGAGTAAAGTCAAGAGAAGATTTTTTTAAAAAAATAATTTAAATGAGAGAGAAATTGTGTTATATATTTAAGGGAATGATCAACAGAAAAGAAAAAAAAAACTGGAAGAGGATGAAAGAAATAATTGCTAAAGCAATGGACCTGAATACATGAAAGAATAGAATCTAGTACAAAATGGAAGAGACGGACATAGGAAGAATAGAGATGGACAATCGATAGTAACAGGATGGGACCAAATGTTGGTAGGTGGGTGGATGGTGGCAGAAACCTATGGGAATTATCTTCTAACTGCTTCAATTTTCTCAGTGAAAAAGGAAGCAAGATCATTAATCAAGAATAATCTTTTGATCCACCAGAGTAACATCCTGCAGTGTCCTTCTATTGCTCTTAGTATGACATCTAATAATGGTCAATGAGTTCCTGATTGACTTACTATCTGCCTACTTCTCATTCCTTCCATATTCTAGACCTATTTCTATTCTTCCAATGCTATAAGCTCACTTCTGTGTCTTTGCCGGTGCTATTCTTTCTAACTGAAATCTATGTCCTTCTTCTTTGTACTTGACTGATGTTTTCTCATTCTTCAGGCTCATCATCCTCTGAATGGTCTTCTCTGGTAATCAAACAATTGAGGATGGCCACCATTATCCCCAGGTTCGCTCATGTCATCTCACTCCATTTAGTTTCCTATCATAATTACCAAAACAAATCAGAAATTGACATCTCATGTATTTATTGTCTTTTTACTCTTCTCAAGAGAATGTAAACTCATTGAGCACAGAGAGATATTTTCCATCATGTTTACCACAGTATCTCCAGGATTGATGTGATAACTAATTAACACAGTTTTATTTGTTGAATAAATGAATGGGAAGACTAAAAGCAGACCCCCATGCCATTTTCCCAGATTGCTCGTCCTTCTTAGAAACAAAGTAATGCCTGAGAATGTCTAAAAGTCTCCAACAGCCTAAGGAACACAGCTGTCGAAACAATGGGGGTGGATTATCTGTAATTGTAAGAAAAAGGAGATTAATCTTCTAAAAATAACAAAGACA